TTTCACAACCAACAGTTTCACAACGGCAGTTTTCTTTTCTTGCTTCTTGTTTTTTTTCAAGTTTCCCGATAGATCCATTCAAGCTGGTCATGATTATCAAATCACGTACCAAAAGCACTTTCACCCAACAGTGGTGATTAGCAGCAGGACGGGTTTAGTTTCCCACCAGTCATGCGTAACTGCGGATTATGAGGACATGGTTACATAACCGTGGCATACTTACCAGAATCATTGTAACGGCAATTCGAACAACGTTCAATACGAATCGCAATGTCTCGACTTCGACTGATCAAAGTTCCAGCACGTAGGAAAACAGGCGAACGACAGTTGAAATTTCATTTCTATGATAGGCATACATCAATACATATTTGCGACTTACGAAACCGCCGTAGGTCCCAGTTACAGAACGAAAAACAATTGAGAAAATCATGGAGCGATACCACAAAGCGGGTAGTGAGGAGGCCGTTTAAAACAACTCTTAAATGTTGAGTTCATAAAAGTGAAAGAAGAGATAAGAAAGGGAAGAAAATGGAATTATTGTGTACAGAAGCTTTCGAAAACCGTTACACCGCCCGCCAATCGCGTAGCGATTTCTTGTCGTTTCCTGCATAAATTTGAAATGGAATATTTCCAATTGACATTTGAATAAGTGCTTTTGAGTACCGCCTTGCGTCAAGTTTTTGTAGACGCTTATTGGATAGTTCCTATTACATCATTGTTCAAATGCCCGTCTCATCTAGGTTACATGGTTAGACCATCAAGCCTGAAGATGGTACCGGAGACCAAAGGAGAACACATCGGTTGGAGTAAGAATCCACGGAATTCGGTCGAATGCCCCGATTGGCCGGGGTGTAGAGAAATTGGGGCACTATCTTTCATCAGTCATGGACGATTTCAATCAGAAAATTAGCGTGATATGAAATCGATCAACCTTATCTATCGATTGAGCTTGATTTGGAGAACACGGGGTTTTCCTTTTTTTGATTTTTTCTGTAGAAAGCTAGTCACGCCACTGGTGACCGCAACATGCAGTCGTTGATAGTAATCCGTGGCGATTACAACTGTGATGTTGATCGTAGCTAAATACCCCTTGTATGAGGCACGATGTTCTTCATCTCTTTTTGAGAATGATACTGTAATCAACCTGGTCATTCATTCAGGTTTATCGGGATTGATGGCGACCTTAGCCATCAACCTGTGCAGCCAATGTTTTGCCCGGCGGTGTAGCTCCCAATCAGTGACGGTAAGAGTATTAGCAAGTTTAAGATGAAGCACAAAACATCACACAAGAATATATGTTCAATGACCGTGATTCGGATCCAAAGGTCTGATTAACGAATGAAAAGGAGATTGCTCCAGGGTTTGGATTTAGTTATTGCCTCATGGTAATTTAATCTGAACGACCAGGAAACGTTTGGACTCCGTGATGCTTTGTATGCGGGTTTCGCAAACCGGTATTGTGCATGACATCAGGAATATTTGTGAGTTCGTCAATCAAGTTGGAATAGCTTGAGGGCTAATAAACCCGAATATTCATTAGCCGAGTATGGAGCCCAAGTGCTCCGAGTTGATCAGGTTGCCAATGAACCCAATTGTTCATTAGCCGAATACGTTCAATTGTGGCCCGTTTCGCTCCGATATATTCTTTTCCAAATTGATAAGTGCTGATTGCGTTCGTGAATTCGCTGTTTCTTGGTAAAGTGTCAAGGCATCATAATACTGCGCAAATGTTTCAATCAACTTGAATAGCCGAACATTCTGGACTGTGTTTTGTCGATTGTCAAGTGTGCGACGTTACAGAAAGTGTTGATTTTGAAGTATCAAACTTTTTAGAGAGATAGACGTAAAACGAGAGGGGCATATTGGTGATGAACGTGA